TTGTCGATTCTGGTCCGTGTTCGTTCGGCGAGGTATCCAATTATGTTGTGGCGTAAATCTGATTTCGTCTATACTCGTATATAATAAATGACTTTATTCGGCGTTGGTGAACAACGGAGTTAAATACGTCAAATAAGAGGATGGATTTAGAATACATATAATTTCTACACTCATTGGTCTGGCCAGGGAATCAGAGTGATGAGGTGAATAGATGAGAGCGGAACGAAGCAAAGATCATGCGCAATGGAGATAGGCTGGGAAGCCAACTCGAGAGCGAAGCTAAATAATGCGTATTGGAGATGGCGGAGAAGCCAACTCGTTATAAGCAAGCATTAATCAACATTTATAGTCAGGCTAAAATGAATGACAGACATGTGATAGGTAGGATAAGAAGTGTGCATACACATACGCTCATATAAAAAAATAGTCAATGTCAATAAGGGAATAATTAATATGATCAAAATATGACTCATAACGTTATAGGTGAATTGGCTTGTCCAGAAACTAGAATAAGCTATGTAGGTGTAATATAGATCACGACGTTACACTACTCCCCACACCGTAAGTGATTTTTTCGACCACCTGGGCCTACTCGTGTTGAATGGGGGAGATAAGATCTTCTAACTTACGTTGAAGTCAAAGCTCGCTGTCATTGCTGAACCTTGATTATGCAATCATGATAGCCAGAAGAAACGATTTCCTAGGTAACCTGCTTGAACGAATACTCTCAATAAGTGATCATCAATATTTTTGTCAACATATTACAGAAATATAAGAGGTAATCCTTACTTGATCTCCTACCCATGTCAACCAGTTGATTCATCCTAAAGATGTCACAAGTATTCGGAGTTTAACAGCGCCTTAACGAGTGACGTCAACCCAGTCAAATCAGAAGTCAAAAGCGAAGAGGTTCGGAGGTATATTTGACACAATATCAATATATTGTGAAATGATCAATGTAAGCTGACTAGCGGATGTAGGTTATGTAAAGCAGGACGAACTCAATCGTGATCTGGTGCGGACCCATGATTGAGCGCGTTCGGCTAGGTGAGTCCACCAAAATTGATGTGGTCAGTATCAGATACAGAGATATTGATTTTAGGAATATATTTATGGCTACAATCCTCACTGGTCGTCCTGGATGTCATCTGTCAGTGGACTTTCGTCTAACGTAGGAGCGCTTCAGCCTTAAAGATAATTTTTCAAGGGCCCACAGACTTCTTACTGGCCTTACATGTGATAGAGAATTTAGAAGAGGAACGAAGAAAAAGAAAAGTGATCTGAGATTCACTAAGCACATTGAACAGGATAAGGACACTATGGTACGTATTCAAGTCTAGCCACAAAATCATTTCGAGGACTGAAATTCAAACCTTATAAGAGAGCCTCCAGTCGCCTAACCTTTACGCGTTAGAGTATAGTCGTTTCAGACGCTACCTTCATATGGCTTACAATGTCCTTAACACTGCTGGTTATCCCCTTAAACATATACTTCAGCTTAGTCACAATACTAACCTAAGGGGTAACAACCAGAACTGGAGACCCAACATAGCAGAACGGACGGTTGACACAACTTCTACTCCTTAAGAGTTGTCAAATGCTGGAATTCGTTGCTGACTGAGCCAGTCCAAGCGACTTCACAGGAGTCCTTTAACAGGAAACGACCAATTCTTAAGGACTAAGGATAACCTATTATTATAATTTACCAATTTCCTTTTTTTCCTCTATTGTCGTTAATATACCTGGGTTCTTGCCTGGAGGTATTGGTGATCCACTGCTACTAGACACGGAAGCCCGTTAAGTGAAAGCTTCTTCTATTCCGTTCACAACCATTTGAACACAACGATACATAACAGTGGAAGAAATAGTCAGTGCCAGTAATAACACAAATGTAAGATTAAAACAATCCGACAATAGAAAGAGAAGTTGGCAGATAAAGGTTCCTAATACGTTAAATACAAACAAGCGAAAAATAGACAAATCCAAATCCACCAATAGGGAAGAAGCTAGCCATGTACACATGTGGGCGCTGCTTTTGAAGATTTGAAGTCGGAATGTCGGGTCGGGAAGGTGGTAAGAAAAAGCCCCTAAAACAGGCGAAGAAGGAGTCAAAGGAGCTGGATGAAAGTGATATAGCATTCAAACAGAAAGAAAAAGAGGAGGCAAAGAAATTAAAAGACGCTAGATTACTAGCCGCAAAACCTGGCCCAATCGGTCAGGGGAACAAGAAAGTTACAAAAAAGTGAACATTTGAGAAAAAATGTTTTGTGATTCTGTAAATTGTGTGCATCTACAGTCAGAACTTAAACATTATTTCCTACTGACAAAAGAATATATAAACTGTACTGGCTCTGTGTATTTCGTCAATAATTCATAATTTACTATATGGTTTTGTTTTGCCATAGTATGTCATTAACTAGCATTGCTCTAATTTATTTACTTAAACATATAAAGATTGGTACAAGGGGACGCAAAAGATATATGCACCGCTCAAACCATTCTATTTGTGAGGGCTGGAATATTGAGCGGGTGCCCGAACCGACGTAGGTGGTTTTCTTGAGCGGACACTATCCAGGTCTTTGACCCACAAGACTAATCCATAAGGCGGTGGAGCAACGATAGGAGATACAGTCTTATGGTAGCCGATGACCAACTGTAGTTTTATACTCCATTTGTTCTCTCAGGATCCTGGAGGCTATGTGCACAATTGGCTTGGAATCAGGGTTTTCAAACTCCCTTAGGTGTGTCCTCTATATCCACTGACCCGGATATTCGCTTTCCGTTCTCTCAACTTCGTAAAATCACCCCCACGGCAAGGACTTTTCTGGGAGTGTCTGCATACGCTAGACCATGTGAGAGCATCTCGAGAGGGAGAGCTGACTCCCTCCACCGCCTGCCGTGTCAGAGTACTTGCAGGTTGTAATTAGCATACATATTGTTAGTACTTTTTGTCGTGTTTCTCTGTAGAATTTTATTACTTCTCTCAGAATACAAAATGTCACGTTTGTATCCTTTGCCTTCCGGTATTTATGGCTTTGCTCTTTCTAGTGTGCTGTAAAGACCCTTGGTAGCGTATATCTTCTGGTGATGATGTGAAGCTATTGGGGACGTTTCGGGCTTAAGGGAAAAATAAATACTTCATGACGATCTGGTTCGTTTCCGAGGTCGGGAAATTACCGGTAGATTAACTCTCAACTTCGTAGAGTAGCCTGTCTGTGGGATGTTGCGAACCTCACATCGTCTAGATATTTCAGCAGCGCTGTCGTTAATTTTTACTTGGCTTCGAAGTTCGGAAAGGTAGTTCTCATCCACTTTGCAAGGATAATATTACTTTAGAGCGCCATTAGGTTAACTTGACTTTTGAAGCTCAAATTGTACCAAGAATTCCCAAAAACAACTTTTCATCTCAATATAAAATAGTCAGTAGTGATTTCATGATAACCTATAGTATCGTTAATGTCCTTGGACGTCATACGAACCGCTCTTTACATGGACTTGAGGGGGGCTACTGGAAGTTCGGATTGTAGTCACTAACTACCATTTGAGAATAATCAACGGTTAGAATTCTTTACCGTTTGGACTGGTACAAGGGACTTATTTAAATGATGTTCTCTCGACTTAGCATTTTATCTCACCCTGATTTCAGTTCTGCAAAGTCCTACGTTGATGCTTAACTGATATGAAAATGTAGGACGTTCTTAGACTGTCAATCCATTTCTCCAGACTTCTTCAAATGGTTTACAACACTTTTTAGCCGATGACTAGTCACCCGCATCCAGCAGTACAAACTTAGACGAACGAGTAATTAGTGTTATAAGTTTTTTTGATCTCTACAACTGAGTACCATACGTATTGTCCAAACTCGTTTAGTTTAGGTAGTGATTCAGTGTGTCGACGGCACTACTGGAACCAATTAAGGCCACCTCTATGGTTAACTCGTCTTACAACCATTCTGCCGTGTTACCAAAAGTAAATTTCCTGAAAACGTAATGAAGAACTTCTTGACCACGTGTAAATAAACTGAAACTTCACGGAAGTTACTGTGGTCGTTTTCAGGGACTTTGTTTCTCATAAGTTCCGTCCAACCATACGAGCTTTTCACAAATTTGAGCTCATAAAACAGTCACATATGTTTCTGACAGTCGATACTAATCTTCAGTCAATTTCGCTGTAGTAACTTACACTAGGAGCTAAACAATGCTTGGTATCGCTCAAAGGTTATTTTCACTACGGTACAGACCTTGGTGAGATAGTACAATGACATGACAATCCATGTAAATAGTGTTCCCTTTCCCTTCAAACACTGGTTACTTGTTGAAGAGATATCTCGCCTGTGATTGCAAGGATATTCGCTTTGCAACCTTTACGTTACAAAGCGGATGCGCCGCCAAAATACCTCCATTTGGAAACGCTGGTTTCAAACTTGAGTGTCGTGTACATTTATTTATTTAAACACATATATATTAGTACAAAAGGGCACCAGGTACATATGCGCCACACAAAATAATGAAAGTAGGAAGAGAAGGGATGAAAAGATAAGGCGGACTGAAATGTACAACCAGAAGACTCTTTCAGTTAAGAAAGTTAGAACCATTCTTTATGTAGAAAGTAAAAGAAGGTTGCAGCAGGATCGCCACTGGCTTCTATTCTGAGCCATATCTGATAACGTCTCTAGCCACTGTGTTGCACCATCTCTCGGACCCCAGCCAGGGAGTCGTGAAGGACCAACAGGAGCTAGCCCTTTGCAGATTTCTTTCATGCCACGGTCGTGTACAGAGCCAGGATTCTGTCATCGACCTGTCTCAGGATGGCAAAATATTATGATACAGTCAACAATGGTAAGGGGGTAGGTAGTTTGGTCTTTTGCTTTCCGGTTTGGCATCCAATGATATGTATGGGCGTGATACATATCTTAGAGAAGTAAGTGAACATACTACGCTCCCGAATGCTCCAAATAAACTTAGCCTGTTGTCTTATTTAATCACATACATATTGGTACAAAGGGCACCGGATACATATGCGCCTGCTGTCTAAGTGAACTTGGCACATATCCACAGTCAATACGTGGTGAAGCACGTCCGTAACATGTAATGTCACATAGTCTTATAGTTAGGTGCTAAAAAACGATGTAGCAAACAATATTATTCAATACTGATTCGATAGAAATTGTTGGAGGACGATGATGAATGTATTTACCCGCAATTATACAACTAACTTTTGATTATTAGACTTACTGATAGTGAGGTGACTAATCTCATAGACAGCTTGGGGTCAATTTCGTTACAAGAAAGAAAAAAATGTACAGTCAAATAGTGTTAAGAAGACCTCTGTCCAGGTGTAAGGTGTATTTTGATACAAAGTAACATTATGTACATAGTCGACCAATATCCAGTCTTAATCTTTGTTTTATTAACGCCTTTTATTAACCTTGGATCGGCAATTTAGTTTCCTCAGGTCTTGGCTATTACTTCCATAATTTCTACCTGGCCGCTGATCACGAATTTCTTTGTAAAATTGACGACCTGCACGATTTTTCTGGCGTCGTATAGCTCTGTCCATACTTCTTTTTTGTCTTGATGTCAAGGTCTGGACTGGTTCCTTTGAAGTTGTTATGGCTTTAACATTATCATCATTAGTGTTTAGATCGTAGTTGAGTAGTTTACTTGGCTCCAACTCTCCGTCACTCTAAAATAATACAGAAAACAAAGTGTTGATCAAGATAAATATAGGCGAGGAGTAAGGACGAACTTCTCGATGTAGTATAAACAGGGCAGCTGAACGACGTGGAAATTGACATGATCCGTACAATAAGTACATGTAAAGCTATTACATTAGTTTAACAGTAGCAAAATATAAGGTCATTTTCTGCACATTGTACTAATGGAAACAGAGTATCTAAGACAAGTATTTCCCGAAAGCAGGAAACTAATAAGATTCAGTAACAGCAACCATGGGTAGCCATTCGAGTTAATTATTTGTAAATTAGGATGTGAATGTACTAAGACATGTGATTCTCAAAGTGACATTGTTTTAAGCCAGATGATTCGTCGAAACAATCAAGTTCAATATAAATACAATACAGGTGAAGGTCGGTAGTGATTCCATTACAAACAATAAATCTTATGAAGCTATTCCGTACAATTTATAGTTTTTTTTAAGGAGTGTGATTTACATTACACGAGTCATTAAACTACCTTATGAAAGCTGATAATAGGGGAAATGAACTTACACAGTCTGTCTCGGATAAATCTTCTGTGAAACCGGTATCAGTAGAAGAAATCACATCAGTAATGGATTGATCCTTATCTGGTACGTCCACTGATAAGTCCTATTAATCGGAACAAAATAATTTAAACAAGGCAAGTATATTACAGAATGACGCCTAATGTTAAGGGTATGAGGTCACTTCATTAACTAAATCGCAAATACCATCTCTTTGCTATAACATAGCTGTTATTACTTACAAGCCTACTTTAGGTTTCACGAGTATTTCATCTTATCAACAGTAACAGACAAAAGCCCGTTTGTTTTTATGAGTAATTGAAATTATACTCAAGCTTGGTACATCCCATTGTATCCGTTACAATTGGTTCTTTCTTTCAACTGATTTTTATAACAGGGAGCGAAATAGTTAGTAGATTGTTATTTGATTATTTCAGTGAGATTAATAATTTGAAATTTTTATTGGTTTTTGTACTTCAGGTAGGGGAAACTGTATGTAAGTTTGAAAGCCCATTAGCTTAACTAGGAAAATACCGGACGGAATTCGAATCTATTAGCCTGTTTTTTTCTTTCTAAATTAACAACATTTTATCGGGTTTAATAAAGCATAACCTTGCCTTTTTTTTATTCTGTCCATAGTGTCAAGAGTTGGACTAATTATTCAAAACGATAAATTATGTTTAGAAACTTGAAAGAAATTTCGTTCGATGGTAATATGTATTAAAAGAAGCGAAGGCACGTAGAATCATTCTACTGCAAGGAATACAGGTATCAGGTCAGAAAATGGGGTTGATTTACAACAATAAATTTTTATGCTTTACTCTTATTGAAATCCCAACGCATTTACGTTTAGTATCTCCACTACTCACTTGTTAACTCCATCGTAAAACAGGTTTATTAGTCTATAAAACATAAGATATTTCTCTTTTCCATTGCGCAGTCTTCTCGTTTATAACTCCTCACTGGTTTATGTGGGAATGTGGGAGTTCGGACACAAACAACGGTCCTAATTTCTATCTTTATTAAACTGTGAGAAATCATCAATATTAATGTAAATGTAAAATGTAGTAATAACAAGATATTATTGGGGACACATTTTTATAATACCTTGACGATTTCTTCTGAATATTCATCGATAACATCATTCTGTATAAGTTCTTCCGCCTCCATAGGTGGTTTGACAAAGTAGGGTAGTCGACCACGTTGAAAGTCATTCAGTACACGCTTAGCAGTCGTGTTTAAATCCGGCTCACCAGCCTAGTTAGTCCGGAAAAGATATATAAAGATAATATAGGTGGAAGACAAAGTTAATTTCAACACCAAGTAGATTTTGCATAATCACAGTCTATGTGTGAAATATCCTGCATAAATGTAGAGCGATTTCAGAGGATTTTATGGGAAATTCCGGTACTACTTCAGGGCTTTCACAAGTTTTGATGGTCACCATTCTAAAGAAGGTTATGAGCATTATTTACAATGTTTTAATATTGGTTTATATATGTGAAATTGCTTCAATATATCACTCCATGTAATTCGTCTATTGATAGTTATAACTTGACCAGAATTCTTGTTGTATCCTAATCATTTTTATTATGGGAAAATGGTGCTCTAAAAGTAACAGGAAGAAGAAACCAAACAACTAGGTTCGTCAGCTATAATGTAAGTATAATCTTCCACTGTGTTTCATGTGCACGAAAATCAAAGTAGATATCAGACAAACATAATAGACGATAATAATTTAAAGTTAAGCGTTAAAACAAAATTATACAATATACTCGGAAAGAAACGATTGGATTCAGAAAATTACTGTTCTAAGACAACAGAACTGGTGTTTGAAAGTGAATGTCAGTTGGTTGGCCATAAGCAACGTAGAACCTGTCACATATGTGTATTCCTTTAAACTACCGTACCATATCAACAGAATAAGATGAGATTATTAAGACAAACGCCAAAGTAATAGAAGTAGTAACAATATCAGTGGTAATAAAAAAGATAAGGGTGTAGACAATACGATTCAAAAAGAATTTGCTGAAAGAAGGGAAATAAGATAATTTTGAAATCCAAGATCTGAACGAAAACAAAGAGTGAATTCATCAACACCACTGCAACCAATTCTCAGTCATATCACTCTGCGCCTCTAAATATTGATAACGACAATTGCAAGGACCCCAAACCAGATAGTCTATACCTACCAATATGTCTTTGTCCGACAACCAATATCTTCGTGAACTGACAACAACTTTTGGTTTTGTCGTCTCGACTGAAAAACTCTTTGTTCTTTCATACTTAGAAAGTAAGTATCATAGTACCACAATCACATTACTAATTAAGGGAAAAATGTTAATTAGAAAGTTGGGCGTCATAAATGAACAGTATAAAGTGACATGTATCATAAAGATTGGATTTCATAATAGGTTAATGAACTGACTAGACACATATTATACAAAGTGATAACAATTTTCCAATTACCTTTAGTAATTTACCACTTTGTCGAGCTAAGGTTTCTAAAAACAATTCTGGATAGTCATTCCATAATAAAGGTTTAGTAGAGGATTCTGATAAAGTTGAATTAATATCCTTACTACTTTTATTATTTGCTTCATTATCCATAATTTGCTTTTGCAAATAATTCTGAACATCGTTAGATGACAATGGTGGTAGATTATACTTGGCTTGTAGGAATTCTGGTTTAACACGTTCCAATACATCACGAATATACAGATCAGGCTGCTGTAAGTATTCTACTCTCACCTATAGGAAAAAACATTAGTGTACAGTGAAAGAACATTGAATTTATGAGCGGTAGGACATAACATCTAAAACATTTCATGGCACTAAGTTTATTAACTTATTTACATACTTAGTACAATGCGAAACTCTCAGGACAAAACATTTCAACAAGTTCCTCAGTCTTCATGTAATATATATATATATATATATATATATATATATATATATATAATGGAATCTTCATTTACAAAAGGGGGTAACATGTGAACGTATTCATCAGAAAAGATGTTTTAGTATAGGTCAGTCTTTACAACCTGCTCATCGCATACTATATGTACTGGATACGGTATTTGTTCTAACTTGTGGCCGAGTGGATGCCTTGCTAACGTATGATGTGATACGACCGCCAATCAAACGGCAGCAAATTATCGATTGGAACAGTGACACACGAAAACTACGAGCAGTCTGGAGTGCTTATCGGTCCTGCTTTCTGCCTAGCCCAGCCAGTTAAACCCAGAACAGCCTCTATGATATGAATCATTATATTTCAAACATAATGAGTTTATATACCAATCAAACTGACCACATCGTACCATAAAATAGAAAATAACATTTTTACAAGATTCAGCCCTAAGTGGCTGTGAATAGGGGGAACAGTAATTAATGGACAGGGGATAATTCGTGAATGGTAAATCCTATAACAATAGTTTATAGTTCAAACTAAAGTTTATGATAAGGGGAACATGAATCTGAATAGTTAACTTATTTAGCGATTATACGATAAAAAATATATGCATGATATTGGTTCATAAATAGATCTAAAAGTTACCATTCATTATCCTTATCGGGACATAACAGTATTCTAGGGCTTCTACACATTTATTTGTGTGCATGGATTCTAATGTGCCTGCATGTCTCGTCTATTTCCCGGCCGTTGCTGCTACTTTGACGTGGTGGTTGGACTTGCTTATCGTGACGAAGCAATAGAGCTATGCTGGCTGGAACAATCGTTCCTCGAGCTTCTACCATGCCAGACAGGTCGGTTGAAGAGCGGTAAGACTAAAAGCAGCAATCCCAAGGTCCGAAGGCGAAGTCGTACTGCCGACTGTACAGAGGTGTGACGGCAGTAAGGTGTTTCCTTCAGACAACCAGCATAACAGCGATGCTGCCTTCCCACAAGGAGGGATGGGGTAAGAAAAGGTCGACCATAAAAATGCACACCTCGCCTTATCCCACGTATTTCCGTCTCCGGCGATAAGGTCCTTTGAAGAACGGAGCTAACACGTTAAAAATTCCCCACAAAAAGGCCGTGCGTGACCGGCCTCAAGCAGTTGTCCCTTGGGCACTGCGGTCACACTCCCAGGTCGTTTAGACCAACACTAATCCGACTTCCTTTTCAGGTCCCTCAAGAAATACCCTTCCACGGTGTGGGCAGCCGGGAAGTGATATTAGCCCTCATACCCATAACTGCACACGAGACCAAGTTGGTCACTTTCAAATCTTTCCTACTCCTAATAACTCTCTTATCTCCACGACTAACCCTTCCCACGTTCTTTTATCACCTCGCACCGCTAGGGAAAACGATTCGAGTACACGGAACGTTATTGCTGGTCTCCTGAAACCACGCTCTAAACTACATGTAGGAACTTTTAATGTCCGAACATTGTGCCAAATAGGACAACAGGCCTCCTTAGCTAGGACTTCAGAATCTTATACCATCGATGTGTGCTGCGTCTCCGAAACGCGCATACAGGATCAGAGTGGCGTCATTCATTTGACCTCACCATATCAAAATAAAGAACCATCTCGATACACGCTTCGTGCATCTGGAAGCCCTGATGCTGCTTCCCGTGGCCTCGCTGGCGTAGGTATAGCATTAAGTCCTAGGGCAGAACTAGCTCTTTTAGACTAGCTCCCAGTGGACAGTCGTCTATGCGCTGTCCGACTAAACGGATCAGTAAGGACTCGGAAAGATAGGGAAACTCGTCATTGCCTCTTCGTCGTCTCTGCCTACTCTCCCACTGACTGCAGCTCAGACGATATAAAAGATGATTTTTACAGGAAACTTTCTGACCTTCTCCGAAAAGCTAGGCGTTCTGATGTAGTAATAGTGACTGGTGACTTTATTGCTCATGTCGGTAAATTAAGTGAAAGACACCTGGGTGGATCTTATGGTGTCGTGGCTAAAAGAACAGATAATGGCGACCGTCTGTTGCAGATATGCTCAGATAACCGCTTATTTCTTGCAAATACTAACTTTAAGCATAAGGAAAAACATCTTTTGACATGGGCGACCCCCGAATTCGTCCCAACGTTGGACCCAATTAGATCACATCGCTATCAGCCACCGATGGAGGGGCTCGATAGAAGACTGTCACTCATTCTGGAGCACATGTTTACATTCAGATCATGCTCTAATGCGAGCACGTATCTGTCTGCGTCTTACTGAACGTAGGAAAGACACTGAAGGGAAGCCTCTAAGGGTTCTACTTAATGATAAGCAAGCTAAGAATATATTTCAGGAACAACTAGAAAAACAGTTAAGCAGCCATATAAGTTGTGCCCACCCCGAGGCAGCATGGAATGACATCCGTAAAGCTGTGGAAACAGCAGTAATATCCGCTAGTAAGGTAAACCATTAGGTTACGGAGAAACAAGGGATCTCGGCAGCGTCTACCACACTGATAGATGCTCTAAAACTCATCCCACCTGGCTCTGAACATAACGAAGAGCGGAGTCAGCTTAAGCACAGGCTAATAAGAAGCCTGCGCGATGATCGTGAACAGTGGTGGGTAGCGAAAGCAAGAGAGATGGAAAAGGCAGTGGCAATAGGTAACAGCAGACAGCTATTCAGACTCATTAAAGAAACGGGTATTAGGAACCCAACTATTAGCGAAACTATCTCAGACAAAGATGGGCATATCATTCATTCTCAATCCAGGAGATTGGATCGATGGGCAGAACACTTTATGGATCAGTTCAACTGGCCTTCAGCCACACTTGAGTTACCCACGATCCCCATTCGTCCTGAATGGCAAATTGATGTAAGTCCTTCAACTTTCTACGAAGTTGAAAAAGCTATAGGAAATCTGAAGCGAGGGAGAGCAGCACGCCCTGACAGGTTTACTCCTGAGATTTTTAAAGATGATGTTCCAGTACTAGCAGTGAGATTGACTGAGGTCTTAGGTAGAATCTGGGATCTGGACGTAATTACATCTAACTGGTCCCAATCACTTATTGTGCCAGTCTATAAGAAACGACAAAAGTCCTCCTGTGATAATCACAGAGGAATCAGTTTGACTAATATAGTGTCTAAAATATTAGCTTCAATAATACTTAGGCGCCTAACCAAAGCTCGTGAAAAGCAGACTAGAGAAAACCAGGCTGGTTTTCGACCTGGACGTGGTTGCATAGACCAGATATTCACTCTACGTCAGGTCCTGGAACATAGACATACATTCAGACGTCCCACAATAGTAGTATTTATTGACCCTAAGGCGGCATTTGACCCCGTTGATTGTGAGGTTCTATGGCAGTGTTTGTCAGTGAAAGGAGTACCAAAGAAGTACATTAACCTCATAAAGGCTCTCTACTCGAACACAACTGGTCGAGTTAGAGCCTATGGCGAACTGTCATCAGAAGTGGTTACCTCAAGTGGTGTTCGTCAGGGCTGTCCACTCTCCCCATTCTTGTTTAACTTTGTCGTTGGCATGCTTTTAGAGATATCATTTTCATCATCTAAATCTCCTGGAGTTGAACTTTTACCGGGAGATTCACTTGTTGACTTAGAATACACCGACGACATAGTTTTGTTTGGTGAAGACGCTGACAAAATGCAGAGTCTTCTGACCACCATAAGCAACTATGCAGGCATGTTCGGGATGCGATTCTCTCCCTCGAAGTGCAAAATGTTACTTCAGGATTGGGTTGCATCGACACCTGAACTAATGATAGGGAGTGAAGTAGTTGAGCGTGTTGACAGCCTCACTTATCTTGGGAGTCTCATCAGCCCTTGTGGTCTGGTGTGTGACGAAATCTCAGCACGGATACAGAAGGCTCGTCTAGCTTTCGCTAACTTGCGTCATTTATGGCGTAGGCGAGATATCCGTCTAGCAACAGAAGGACGGGTTTACTGTACAGCAGTCCGTTCCGTCCTACTTTATGGCAGTGAAACATGGCCGATAAGAGTAGAGGATATTCGTAGGCTACTAGTATTCGATCATAGGTGTCTTCGACGCATTGCTCGTATATTCTGGGACCACCGGGTAAGTAATGCAGATGTTAGGAAACGGGCACTAGGTAAGGATGGGAAATCGATTGATGAAGTACTGAAACTTCATCAGTTGAGATGGCTGGGATACGTGTTACGTATGCCAAACCACCGACTGCCCCGACGTGCAATGCTTTATGGTGTAGGAGCAGGTTGGAAGAAAGCTAGGGGCGGCTAGACCAAAACATGGCATAAATCCATGAAGTCGCTGACAAGTGGACTGGGCCGTGTTGGTAGGTGTAGACTACCTGGTTGGGATTCGCGAGATGATAGCAACCGATGGTTAGAGACCTTGAATGACATGGCTCAAAATCGTTTGCAATGGCGAAGGTGCATACACTCTTTGTGTTCTACCAAATTCTAATCTTCTGAATTCTTCATGTCCGTATCCTTTTTCTTTTTCCGAATTTATTTCACCGTATTATACTCCTTTAATAACATCTTCAAATCCTTATCTTTCACCTAATACTTATACTCTTACTACTTCTACCAATATGGGATTTGAATCGACAACTTCATCTCTGTGCTAATGTGGTATGGCAACTCGAACTGATGTACGTACGTACGAAGTTCTACGTTGTAACTGACTGACTGACTGGCCTGTCTCGCTAAGTCATATACAAGGGGAAAGATATGAATGGAGTAAATGACTTGTATCTGATAGAATAACACATGAAAGCCGTTCAGAAGATTGTAATTACTCGTTTAAACTCACATAATACCATCAAAAGACCTACTACTTTACACACTCATAATATTTAATACTCTTAGCAATAGTGTATTATTTCTTCAAGAGTCCAGGAAAATGTAATGGGAGACAAGTACAGAATGATGGACAAACGCTTGGTTGATTACATACATTTTATATTCATCCATTTTAATTCACAAGAATGACATCACTTACAACTCCTTTCATAACTAATTCTGCTTCAGTATTACCATCAGGATAGACGACTCCAGGACAATCGATTAAGAATATAGATTTCATTAGAGTAACATACTGCCATACTTTTGTTTCGCCAGCCAACGGGGCGACATTACACACCTTTTTATTTCTTAAAATAATAAATGCAAAATAAAAGAAGAAAACAGTATTGATAAGCATTGTATCCTAATGATAGTCTATAGCTTAGAAGTTATACTTAGTAAATTAAGCAGTTGATATAAATCGCCAGTTTAAGACGATGGCTGAATTAGTTTTTATCCACCAAATCTGCCTACAGGAGATATTATACTACACTTTGATCTTGTCTTCAACCAAAATTTAAATCTAAAGTAATAGTCGATTCTCATTCATTTTTAATTGTAGGTTTATTTATTAAAAAGTAATTTCATCTTTATCATTTCGTACTAACACCATGTATGTCAGTAACAGAGACAGGAATGATTAAAAGCTGGTTGGAGAAATTCCTTCATTACAAATGAACTACTGCAATTTAATAAAATGAAAATGCCTACATGATTATACACTTGTGTTTAATTTCGTAGACACGATGAGGCGAATTACTGATGAGAAATCAAATTTAGGCGACACAGTACAAGAGTATATATATATAATAGTATATTGTTAAAAATGTACTTCTGAGAGCAAAAAGACAATATACAACATACCTAAGAGCATTAATGATGCTACTTTTTCCAACATTTGGATAACCAATGATACCAACCGATATTTGTGGTCGTTCTTTACTATGAAGTGATGCCAATTGCCTTAAAAGACCCATGAGAGCAACTTTACCCAAAGGTTTAGTCATATCAGCGTGGAATATGAGTGTAGGATATTCTTCAGATAAGATGGCTTTCCATCGTTTCTATATGTAGTAAAATATATAACAGAAAATGATTGTCTGAAAAACATATATAAATGTACATATTACTGTTGGCCAGAATAGAAAAACTTGAAACGAGTTAGGTAGATTGTCATTGATTTTAAAAACAATGGTTAGGTTAAAGGTTATTTCTTTTCACGACACATTAAGATTCCTAGAATTACGGATCGAATAACGAAAAAGTATTTCATGATGAGCTCAATAAATATTGTTAGATGATCCAAAAAGACAATTATGACTAGTACGTTTAGCACGAAATCCCCAGGATATAGGCAGACGAATATTAAGTAACAGAGAAGGGAACCCACTCTATACTTCAAATTGATCGGCATGAAGAAATATTAACTAATAATAACATTAGGTTAGCTCTGAGTCCTAAGTCGAGACCCCGAGGTGAGAGGCTTCGAACTACAAACTTTCATATGTCAGGAAGATAAAACCACACTGTGGACAATTCTTCCCAGAAGTTTTTGGTTATCAACTTTTGATATAATAACAAGTAACTTTTGGTACTTACTACAAGTATAAAAAATATTAGGAAAAATTTAATTGAGAAGCAGTGACTAGTGGAATCCAGTTATGTTGGTTGTGAGGAAGTTATCCTCAAGGTAACAAATCGAGAAATGTGTCAAGTTGACTAGTTTGACAGTAACCTATTGGATACTGGCTCAGTGGTCTAAAGGTTAAGCGCTTACAGTGAGACTTCGAGGTTTAGACTTTGGCCCCACATGGAACAGTAATTGCGCACTGTTGGGTAGTCCCATAATAGGACGAAACAATTGTCCATTGCTTCCTGGTATCATCTGTTTGTCTAATTATTCTCAGTTCATGATGCAAAACTATGAAAGTGTTATTGTCTACATCATGATGAATAATCAAGTTATTAACATAATATGACTAACAACAATGTCTTTACAGTCTTAAGTGTTAACCTTCTTGACCTGATGATACTCTGAACTTAAAGTTATAATCACAAAATGTTGTGACAGGATTACTTATTGACAGAATATTAGGACACCGGGATGATTTGTCATTCAAGATATACCTGCCAAAAGTTATACAGTTATTGAGTTGGATGAAAAAATGTAAAAAAAATCTATAGAGCACTCAAAAGCGAACCCGATGAATTTAATTTATTTATAAACTGTATTGTACTTATTGCTACAGCCATCATTTAAGTGTAGTAATTTGATGAATTTAGTCAATTGTTTTCAAGTATACTACAAGTGAGTCATAATGGAAATTAACAGTTAAAAACTAAATGAATTTTCAATTAGATATAAACAGTTTAGGATAGATTTTTTGCTTAACCTAGGAGTAACATGTAATACATCCTAGTTTTTAAAAAAGAATGACTGTAAAGTAACTAATTAGCCAATATTAGCATAATCTGACAGAGTTCTATGGGATTGTTATTAACCGAAAGTAGACAATAATGAATGGGGTGAGCAACTTTATTTTCAATAAAAGGGAAATATAGAGGTATTAGTGTAAATAAACTTCGTTTATTTGCTTCCCAAGATTTGGATTGTGAATCGTTTCTTGATCTTAAGTAGTAACCGTTTACCCGAATAACTGGGTAGAATTTAAGTATTTTTTGGGGGGGATTTGTTTAGATACGTCTGTGATGACGTTAACTCGTAACGATTCAAACGTTTAGACTAATAAATCATCGGATGTATACTTGATGCTTTTAACTATATAGCTTTTAATAAAAACTATCCTAGAATAAAGTAACTGAACAACTATAGGACACGTAATCTGAAAAATCCGATATTTATTCGGCATTTTATCCCTCCTATGCAACAAATCAAAAAATTAATTTAATAACGCTTTATTGCCACGACGCACTAATAAAAATGACATTATTGCAGTGATAATAAGTTCTAAGCTGACCCATAATTCAATTTTTCAGTTTGACCTGAGTATCGAAAAAAATTGCCAATATCTAAGTATTTGAGTCAAATGTAGTAATTGTTGTCAGAGTACCGAGCCACAATTTTGCCAACAAAGTATTATTATCAAATATAATGACAGAAATTCAATTCACTGAACAAACGGAATACAGAACACGTTATGAAATATATAAACAGCGACCAGAAGTATGTGACAAAATAAATTCAAGAGACACTATCAGTACATACCCTTCTAGTTTTTTACGATGTAAAGTTTGACTTCATATATTATATCCATACTACCATTACCTATGATCAAAAATCTAGTACATGAGCTGTTCCATGAATCAAAACAACTTTCAAGATTGTTTATTTTTAGATATTTTATTAATTTTATAAAGCAAAATCAACAACATTGTAGTGATACTAACCGCCTAATGATTAGGTGCACTTTGAGGGGCTAATTTATTATTTTGTAGTAAGACATCAATTGTATAGTTCAAGATGAAAATTCATTTAGGTACAACTGGATGGTTTTACTAAAACGCGTTATCAGAAGAATTACGATAGCACGATTTTTAATAAAGGAGTAAAAATAGGAAAAGAATACATACAACCTACTGTTATCCATACAGGGACTAAATCCACTTTGTTGATGATAAAAATGAAATGTTTGTGTGGTTTTTCAGTTTTTAAGTACTTCTCAATATAAGGAGATCGTGTGCCCATTGGATCGCGCGCATCCAAAATGTACAGCACAACATCTGAAGAGTCTAAAACCTAGAAGAAATAAACATTTCAACAGTAAAAAATAGTTTAAAACGCCACACAGAAAATACACAAAGAGTTGGTATATTTTTTAATGTATAATGATATAATAATGCTAGATGAAGCTCATGGAGCGGTGGTCTATTGGTCAAAGCATTTAACCATCAGCCATTACGTTTCCCGTCTGAACCCTTCTCCATCTACTTAAGTTTAGGCATCCGAGTAGTAGTATCATTAGCTCTCATACCCAAGTACCTGGTGGAAGAGTTAAATTATTTATTTATTGTTAGATAGAGTTCTGAAATGGTTGATTTATTATTATTTGAACACGTAACAATGGTACAAAGCGGAAGCCAAATAGACACGCGCAACACAAATAGTTACCATTTATTTTGTGTGTGGGCTGGGATACTGATTAGGTGCCCAGACCGAAAGGGGGTTTTCTTAGGTGGTCATTCCCCGAACCTTTGACCTAGAGGTCTATTTCGCAAGACAGCGGAGCAACGATAGGAGATGAGATCCCATGACAGCCGGTGGTCGAAAATAGGTTTATACGCCATTTGTCCCCTCAGGATCCTGGAGCCCAGTGCACCATTGATTTGGATTCGGGGTTTTCCAACCCCCTTGAATGAATTCTCAGTATCCACCGACTCAGTTTAAGCTCCGGTTATCCGCTTTCCGTTCTCTCAATTTCGTGAAAACATCCCTGCCGCGAGAAGACACTGAGTAGGACTTCCCTGGCAGTGTTTGTATACGCGTGACCATGTGAGAGCATTTCGAGAAGAAGAGCTGACTCTCTCCACTCTCGGCCATACCAGGGCATTTGACACAAGAAATTAGTGATAACAACTTAGCTTTAACTTCATATATAGCTGAAGCAATAAGTCTCGAGCTTGGAAGTGCATATAAAAGTTAGTGATGAGTTGGTCTGATTCATGTTGATTATAACTGACTAATTTGGTAAGTTGAAAAGGTTTCGAACTGAATTTCAAGTAGTCTATTGCTTGAAACATTTTAATTTAACAAACCACCGGGTAAGTTAATTACACACTACACTACTTTAATATTTAAGAACTACCCTGAAAATATAAAAAAATATCCGTATTTAAGGATAACGACTTAGCATCCCCCCCGTTAAACTGGGGACATATCTCAAAGAACAGAGAATAACTTACTGACTATACAAAGATCGTTCTTGTTTATAGTAAAGCTAGTATTGTGGTGCAACTATCCAGTATAGGTCAGAATATAAGAATATGCTGTGTACGTAGTCTACGATAAATTATGTCAGTGAATGGAATTTTAATTTATATGTTGAGATTTTATCAAGTGTACAGCGAAATATTGATAGTATGATAAAGTAGCACAAAAGGATGGGGACTGTATTGTGATTGCTTTTCTATGAATGATTAGAAAGAACAGACAACACCACTTAAAAATACCACAGAAAGATACAATTAACAAGGAGAACAGAAAACATTATGGTTATACGCAATGCTGAAACAATGATATGGAGAACAAAAAAGCGTAGCACTATATGAATTTTAGTTAAAATAATTATTGCTGTGAATGATCTTGAGTTATATTAGGAAAGTTTGAAAGAATTAATCAGTTGATGAGAAGACTGAGACTTGATTTGGGGCGTACAGGTAAAGACAAGTATCCTTATTTAAACTTGTTTGACTAAACACAATTTATAGCTAAAAGTTTCACGTGATGTGGATTAAAATTATTCACATCAACACTGATGAACTCATCCATTACATTTTATTAAATTCTGCATCTAGTTAATAATTAACTAACTCAGTCAAAATGTTTTTTGATGCGGGCTACTCTTTCAACGTGAGGACTGATGATACTATTCAGTTGTACAAACGGAGTGAGGCTCGAACCCGAGCCTTAGAGGCCGAAAGTCAGACACCTCAACTGTCAAGTCGTTTCGTAATACTCCATTATTTTCGTTCTCAGGGTTTGTCTATTTCTTTCGACAATTTTAGAGGAATTTTATGGGGTGTTTTACTACGAGCGATCACAATTATCATTAGCCTGTATCGACGCAGGTAAATTAAACTGATACATGTTTTTATCACGTTATGCACATCTGTTATTAAATATTTTGCTTTGGATTAGTCAGTGACTAAGCATGAGAACCACCCGACGTATGTTCTTAAAATATAAGTAATCTCTCCTTTGAAACTTAATCCCATACAAAAAATGATCATTCGATCGTTTGCAACATGTGGTAAATTTTTTAGTCATCGAAATATTCATTGATTGTGGGAGAAGTGAGAGTAAAGTTTGAATGGAGTAGAATTATGTAGAAAGTCTTATAACAATCAGAACAAGATGATATTGGTTGAAGAAGGTAATACTGTCTCATTTCCTGTACACAAGTACACTTCAGTTTACTAACTCATCAATAAGAAATCGTTTTCTTGTTACTTTAGCTCATATGGTCAATCTTTCCGACTCAGTGGTCTTGAGTGCTGTTAGAAGTATGAGGGCGGTTATCACTTTCCGGTTGCCCACACCATGGAAGGGTCCTTCTGAAGGTACCTGAAAAGGAAATTGGGTTACGGGTTGTCCCATTGATTTGAAAGCGTGACTGCAGTGCCCAAGGGAAAACTGCTTAAGGTCGGTCATACACAACCGTTTTGTGGATGATGTTCGTGTAAGCTCCGTACTTGTTGGGACCTTACCTCTGGAAAAGGATATCCGTGGGATAAGGAGAGATGTGCACTTTTAGGGTCGACCTTTTCTCACCCCACCTTCCTTTGTGGGAAGGCATCATAGCTGTTATGCTGGTGTAAAACAAACATTAGCAGCACAGATAAGATGTTTCTGTTCATTCCAAGACATTGACACTGTTAGTACTGTTTCTTACTAATGTTTAGAATTGTGTTATATTGTATTAACGTACTAATAGGTCTTATTATGCACTATAAGTAGTGATGCTTTAAAATCATGAAATAAACTAAGCTAGCTGCATTGTCACAAAAAATATAAATCCAAGGTTAATGAGGCTTTGAAACAAACTAAGAAGTTGAGTGTTGTATGGTAGTTAATTGCCTTAGAAACTTGCCTTAAATAACTCATTCCATAGTCTCTTCGATCGGCCAGCTTTGAAGTGAGGATCCTGTGTTAAATCTCGGACACCATCATCGCATCGAATCATATGTTTATCGTCCGTCGAGTTATACAAATACTGATTTGATTCAGCATTTCGTACAAGTGACTAAAGAACACGAAAATAATAAGTGTTAGTAGTTTGAAGTGTGAACTATTGAAGGGGTGAAACATGATTTGACGAAAATTATATGAATGCAATCAAGTCCGTCGATAATGTGGTCATGAACGACACAAAGTAAATCAAGAAATTATTTGCTTTCTACTGTTACCGGGAGATTATATGATATTCTGATAGAGATAGTTACATTAAATGATAGCGCTAACAACCACAACATAATTAGCATCTTCGAAACTTTGTGAAAAGCCAACATCAGGTACTTGTTACAATAATCTTATCTGTTATTCCGTAAACAAGTAGCTAAATGTCTTATCAACAAAAGATATTTATTTATTTTTATTTTATTTAACCACATAAATATTGATACAAAAAGCACCAGATAAATATGCGCCTCACAAATCTTATTTGATTTGTGAGGGCTGAGATACTGCCCAGACTAAAGCAGATGGTTTTCTTAGGGGGCCACACCCCGAGCCTTTCACCTAAAGATCTGATCCACAAGGCAGTGGAACATCATGAGGAGATGCAGTCCCATGGTAGCCGGTGACCAACAATAGGTTCATACGCCATTCGTTCCATCAGGATACTGGAGCCCATGTGCACCATTGGTTTGGAATCAGGGTTTTCCAACTCCCCTAGGTGAACCCTCCATGACCACTAACCCGGTTAAAGCGCCGGACATTCGCTTTTCGTCCTCTCACTTTCGTAAACAACAGTAGTGTCACGAGAAGGCAGTGAGTGGGACTTCCCTGGCAGAGGCTATATATTCGCGTGACCATGTGAGAGCATTTCGAGAGGGAGCGGGCTCTCCCCACTCTCGGCCGTACTAGGGCATTTGGGGGCCAACAAAAGATAACACAAAACTTTAAGTTTTTAATAACTTCTGAAGATCATTTGTACTAACTGAAACAAACTTAGTAATTGACGCACAGGCCAGACACATGTGATAAAGTTAAATCACACAGTACTTATCCAGTGTTGCTGCAAAATTCAAAGAATTAAGGTGTCTAGCTACTGAACGTATTTAACAAATAAAAAGCAACGAGGTAGCTTTATGTATTAATAACAACCTTGATTTATTTACATACAAAATTCGCAGTGCCACGAAGCATCAAAAACATTATATAAGATATGACAAACATTTAAAGCAATGGTAAAGCTGAGACAGTAGCATACACTATCTAACGACAGCACTAATTACATCCAGTTGCCAATGTGTCTCGCACTACAATCAGCAATGACTGACGGGGGACTAAGTTGTCTTTAAGTTGAGGGGGCCAGACTTCACCAGCGTACAGAGAATTTATGCCTGAGAGGCTGTGACGACGTCGAATTAATTCATTTTACACGAGCTGCTAACACTATTGCCACTACGATGCCGATACCAACAAAAACTACGTAATTAAGACCTTTCAGTACATCCCCCAATAATTGGAATTTCAAGTCCTGGAAACCAAAAACGCTAATTGTTAACTAAATGGGTTCAATTGTGATCACAACATACGGTCCCAGCCACTTTTATCAGACAATGGTCTAGGAGATTATTTCAGTCAGTTAGTCAGTCACAACGTAGGACTTCGTACATACATACATCAGTTCGAGTTGCCATAACACATCAGCACAGAGATGCAGATGTCGATTCAAATTTTATAGTGGTAGAAGTAGTAAGAGTATAAGCATTAATGTGAAGCCCCCAAATGCCCTGGTACGGCCGAGAGTGGGGAGAGTCTACTCTCTCTCTCGAAATGCTCTCACATGGCCAGCGAATATATAGCCTCTTCCAGGGAAGTCCTACTCACTGCCTTCTCGTGACACTACTGTTGTTTACGAAAGTGAGAGGACGAAAAGCGAATGTTCGGCGCTATAACCGGATTGGTGGACACGGAGGGTCCACCTAGGGGAGTTGGAAAACCCTGATTCCAAACCAATGGTGCACATGGGCTCCAGTATCCTGATGGAACGAATGGCGGAAGAACCTGCTGTTGGTCAACGGCAACCATGGGACTGCATCTCCTTACGATGCTCCACTGCCTTGTGGATCAGACCTTTAGGTCAAAGGCTCGGGGTGTGGTCCCCTAAGAAAACCACCTGCTTCGGTTTGGGCACCCGGGCAGTATCACAGCCCACACACAAACAAATGAATGAAATTATGAACTTTATTGACGATATCCCTGGTCATACTAAAAGCAAAACAATTAACATTATTATTATTATTACCTTTATTATTATTATTATTATTATTATTATTATTATTATTATTACTTACCATATCGCTAATTCACCCCCTTTTATCCCCAATTTGTGTAACCTTACTCTTCAACTTATGCAGCAGCTCGCTCTTGGTGGAAAATCTGTCCTATCTAAACGATCTCCAGTCACTGTCTGGTTGAAAGTGAATGCTTCCACCGATTATGAATACTGAGGCAGTCTTTCTGAAACCACGTACGCCGTTCAAGCTGGCTTCCTTCAACGTTCGCACACTAATGCAGATCAGACAACAGATAGGGCTGGCTATGTCTTTGGAAGGTCTTAATGTTGATGTTTGTTGTCTATCCGAGACCCGTATTCAAGACTCTAGTGAAGTACTACAAATCCGCTCTCCATCTGTCGCCTCGAAAAGCTTGTTCCACGTGCGCTTATCCGGGGACCCTGTGGCATCTTCGTCTGGTCTTGCTGGCGTTGGTGTCGCACTAAGCGCTAGAGCTGAGGCAGCACTAATCGATTGGATCCCCATTAACAGTCGGTTATGTGCTGTTAGATTAGAAAGTTCCATCAAAGTGAGAAGAAATCGGCGTGAGAAACGGTGTCTTTTCGTCATCTCCGCCTATGCCCCGACAGATTGCAGCCCGGATGCAATCAAGGATGAGTTTTACCATCAGTTAACAGTTCTTCTCCAGAAAGCGCGTTCGACAGATATTGTAGTACTAGCCGGAGACTTGAATGCACAGGTCGGGCGTCTAGGCACAGAAGAGAGTCGTCTAGGTGGCCGATGGGGACTTGTTGGTCGCAGGACAGATAACGGGGACCGTTTGCTGCAACTGTGCACAGACCACAACCTGTTTCTGGCCAGCACTAACTTCCGGCACAGTCATCGCCGGTGTGCCACCTGGCGTCCTCCCTCTGCATCCCAAGCCTGGACTCAGATTGATCACATCGCGATCAGCTACCGCTGGCGTGGTTGTGTACAAGACTGCCGCTCCTTTTGGAGTACCTATCTGGAGTCTGATCATGCCCTGGTCTGCGCCAATCTCACCTTACTTTTCAGTGGCCGAAGGATTGCCACCACCAACGGATTGATGTTAGTAAATTGGCCGCAACTTCTGTTGCAAGTAAGTATCGAGCGGAGCTAGCCTCTAGGCTAGCTACCACCCCACCGAAAAGTCTGGTAACTGCCGGAAGCTCTTCCAACTCATCCGAGCCACTGGCAGCAAGAAGTCTGGTGTGAGTGAAACAATCTACGAGGATGACGGGATGCCAATCACTAACATCTGTCGACGTCTTGGACGATGGGCGGAATTTTTCGAAGGGCAGTTCAACTGGTCTGCTGCTTCGGCAACATCAACCAGCTTGTCCTGCTCCCCATGGCCGGTGACGACTGATCCACCAAACGAGGCGGAAGTCCGCAAGGAACTCCAACTCTTGAAACGTTATAAATCACCTGGCCCAGATGACTTACCTCCGGCTCTTTTTAAAGATGGTGGTGACTTTCTGGCTAAGGAACTGACTGCGTTGTTTGGAAAGGTTTGGGAGCAAGAAAGTGTTCCAACATTTTGGAATGAGTCAATAGTCGTCCCTATCTTTAAAAAGGGTTCACGTTGTTCCTGTAGCAACTATCGGGGGATAAGTCTACTTTCGATCGCGTCCAAACTATTGGCTTCTATCATTCTTCGTAGGTTGTTTAAAACCCGAGAACGATTGACTCGCGAGGAGCAGGCTGGTTTTCGTTCTGGTCGAGGATGCATTGATCACATCTTCACCCTCCGCCAAATGTTAGAACACCGTCATACTTATCGCAGGCCAACAATCGTAGTGTTTCTTGATATCAGGGCGGCCTTCGATTCGTTGGACAGGACTGTTCTCTGGGATTGTCTATTGAAGAAGGGTGTGCCTGAGAAGTTCATTAACATCTTAAAAGCCCTGTATACGAACACCTCAGGCAGAGTGAGGGCATACAACCACCTTTCTCCCTTGTTCCATTCGAGCAGTGGGGTTAGGCAGGGTTGCCCGATCTCCCCATTCCTCTTCAACTTTGCCATCGACGACATCCTAGAAACAGCTCTGATGGATGTAAGTAATGGCGGTGTGGATATGTTGCCTGGAGAACGACTTCTCGACCTCGAGTATGCGGATGATATTGTCTTACTGTGCGATAATGCCCAAGGCATGCAATCAGCACTTAATCAGTTGGCAATCAGTGTCCGCAGGTACGGCATGTGCTTTGCACCCTCCAAGTGCAAAGTACTTCTACAAGACTGGCAGGATTCTCATCCTGTACTCACCCTGGATGGTGAGGAGATCGAAGTAGTTGAGAAGTTCGTGTATCTAGGTAGCTATATAAGTGCTGGTGGTGTCGTGAGTGATGAGATTGATGCACGTTTAATGAAAGCCAGAGCGGCTTATGCCAATCTGGGCCATCTTTGGCGCCTTCGTGATGTTAGTCTGGCTGTAAAAGGTCGGATCTACAACGCGTCGGTGAGAGCAGTTTTGCTCTATGCTTGTGAAACCTGGCCTCTCCGAGTTGAGGATGTTAGACGTCTCTCTGTGTTCGATCATCGTTGTCTCCGAAGGATTGCTGACATCCAGTGGCAACACCATGTTAGTAATGCAGAGGTTCGGCATCGTGTGTTCGGGCGCAGAGACGATAATTCAATTGGTGTCACCATCTTGAAACACCGACTTCGGTGGCTCGGACATGTTTTACGAATGTCGTCCCAGAGACTTTCGCGTCGTGCATTATTTGCCGACCCTGGGACTGGTTGGAGAAAGCGGAGAGGAGGTCAGTGTATGACATGGTGTCGTGGCATGAAAGAGAGCTGCAAAGGGCTAGCTTCCGTTGGTCCTTCACGACTCCCTGGTTGGGGTCCGAGAGATAGTGCAACACAGTGGCTAGAGACGTTATCGGATATGGCTCAGAATAGAAGCCAGTGGCGATCCTGCTGCAACCTTCTTTTACTTTCTACATAAAGAATGGTTCTAACTTTCCTAACTGAAAGAATCTTCTGGTTGTACATTTCAGCCCGCCTTATCTTTTCATCCTTTATCTACCTACTTTCATTATTTTGTGTGGCGCATATGTACCTGGTGCCCTTTTGTACCAATATATATGTGTTTAAATAAATAAATAAAATAAATTCAAGGAATATAATCCAGTGAAATAAATTTGGAAAGACAAAAAAGAAAGGAACATGAAGAATCTGTGGCATGTGGCTACTAAATTATCTGATAAGACTACAGAAGTTATATTTAGTTAAGGGAAATTTACTACTTCTCGGAAGATCTATCACAAAAGTAAGACAGCTTGATTCAGAAAATAGACAAACGAAAGACATAAATAATTTACCGATAGATCATCACACTCCAACGAAGGTCTTTTGCGCTGTGCTTTACCCCCAAATACATAGGAGTAGCTTTGTGATGTTAAAAGAGCACTTTTCGTTTTCTATAACATGATATAACCCAAGTAAACTAATACCGTCTTTTTCTCATCTAAAAGTGATATAGGCAAGCGAGTTTGACGCAAAATGACTTCGTAAGGATTTCGAATCTTCATTGCTTCTTTGAAACTTTGTAACGTATCTTGACTTATAACACGTGTATTGCCTAAATATGCTAATTACTTGCAAGAGCTAACCTACCAAACCATCGTCTATTAGGCTCAACCCGTGCAACTGTACCGGAAGGTAGAGTTGATTGGAAAGGTGCAGGACGAACTATTTTTCCATTTTTGTTTCTACGACAACATCGTATAGTTGAGCTATACAAACCTTTTTGCCTTGAAATTACGGTACATATTAAGTCGCTTGATGGTAGCCTTAGTTCGCATTGTACTTCCCTTGGGCTGTTTTTCTCGATCTACACAAATAACGCATTTTATTTTGCACATTACCTGGGTTAAGTGAGTGTTTTGCATGACTAATAGCGTTCTTAAATTTGCATTTGACCATCTTCTTGATGCAGTCGACGTAACGCGATATTTTATAAAACCCAGATCTAAATTACAAACTATTCGTGAGAAAACCTGCATACAGTGATCATTTATTATAGATATTTTCTATCATTCAATCATATTTGTATATGCACTGTTTTATTATTATCTATAACCAGTCCATATGTACTAGATATTATTATCAATTTTCATCTTCCTCAACTGAACCTGATTCAGAATTGTCTGGATGATCAAGCTGATTTTCTCTGAGGTCACGTAGCATCTGAGTTATTGTACAGCAAGGTAAGATACATGCTATGCAACAGTCCAAACATATTGATCCCCGTATCCCACGTCTTCGTCGAAACAATTTTCGGGAACACCCTAATATGGGACCCCAGCAACAACATGAAAATACTGTCATGACGAAAGCAAATAGGTACGAAAAGGGACGCCTAATTCTAGTTGTGTCTTTGACTATTTCTTCAATTGCACATATTGGCATAAGACAAATAAAGCAAAGAGTTCCATAGCCTTGAGCTGAACAACATGTCCCATATAGACCGTAATTAAATTTTGGAGGTTTGTTAATAGAATCATCAATTTCTCTCATATCAGCGTTATTTCTTAGTGCAGACAACCCACTGACTTCTCAAAATTAATTAATCAGGTATATTTACACTGCCTATATTTATAAATGGAATTCTGTAAATGTTTGAAAAATGGGTCGATAAATGTTGATTTGAAATATTTTGCCTCACGTGACTGTAGCTATTAAGTATAAATCCGACTTATGTTGGCGATATACTGCGCAGATTAAGCATAACTTATCAAGTTCGTCTATGAAATTATGCATCATTATTCAAGACTATTGTGATTTCTGTTTTCCAGATGAATGCTCAACGTATCCATATATATGTGTGTACATCCAACGATACTTTTGTCGGGCAAATTTTAGTGATGCTGAGCACATAAGGAAACCGTCTAAACATTTTAAACTTTTAGTCGCTGGAAACTGTATAGCGTTTAGAATTATTGTCAGATTTGTGGTTCCATGTTTGTAGTGAGTATATGGATAAAGACAGAGGGGTTGTTTGGGGATAGATCTGATGGAACTGTACGCTTACTGTCAAGTTTCGGAAGTTTTTTGTTATCACACCCAAAAGTCGCTGACAGTTGTACATTTACTATTTAAATACCGATGAGAGAAAAATGCCAAGAGTCAACAGTACTGCTACATAATGATTGAAAAACGGTTTTAGTCAATGAAGGCTAACGCGCAGAGACGAATAGGCAGCGTGGCATGGCTTGTGCAGTAGTGATTATGTTCCGTGCAATTTTTATCCTGCTCTCTCAAAGAAGTGAAAACAGGATGACCTGTCCACTAGGTAGAAGTGAATTAATCCAGCGCCTCAATATACTTTGTGATTCTAGAATAGAGGTACAAACTTTAGTCAATCTCGTTATTCTAAAAGTTACGTAGCCTTTTATTTATTTCCAGTTTTAATTGAGATCTCTCACGTTTACATTTTATATTTTATTGCTCATAACTATACGTTCTCTGACCAGTATTCACATTGTCATAAAATAATGAAAGAGGGATTTAATTTACTGGGTACCGATTAGACAAAATCTGAGTATCTAGAATCTCAAAATATTAGCAATTCAATCATTTGTAAGTGCAGAGGATTATGTGCAATAAAGTTTCTTGAGGAATCTATGGAATACAGTGGACGCTTATATAAATAAATAAACCAAGGGACTAAGGGAAATGTCGAAATCGCAACACTGTGATAAGACAGCAGTAATACACCTGTAGACCATCAACGTTGATGATCCCTGTGGAATAATCGGAGGCCTGCTCGAGTTAGACGGGAAAGGTGTGGCGAACTACCTATCTTCGAAGCCACACCTTGCGGTAAGCATCTAACGTGGATTACCCCTTCAACATATCAAAGTACGATGGTTACTTTGAAGACCATAAAACGCAAGGGACGTTACTATGGAAATGTATTCGTAAGAATGAGTACAGAGAAGATAGCAAGACCACCACCACATGCGCAGGTCCATGACATACGATTAACTGATGCGAGTTGGTTGTCCTTAACTTTGACACGGATCGATGATCTGTTCGATATTCGGTGACCGAAATGTCGGATGACTTTGCTAGGACTCAGTAACACTTCACTGTCCCTACACATCATTAGTGGAGGAAGATCATGGTAAGGTCCAGATATTCTCAATTTACTTTAGAAATGTATATACTGTGGAGATCGTGTACCCCTCGGTTCATACATCTTCCTCCATACACACTCTGGACGGTTACTCCTGAAGAACTAAATGTCCTTGGTCTGCTAAATAAGCTTAATTTAAGGTGCTGGTACCCGGTAAATGCTGCCTAATTTGTTGAAGGAATTAGAATACTTTTCGTAAATTCATTAAGCCTGTATTTTATTAAGTATCTGTAACTCAGGGTAGATTATCAAGAGATTGGAGGAATGCTCTAGAATTCATATCTTAAAACAGATACGAAGCATGAACCTGAGAATTATCGAACAATAAACCTAACGAGTGTGGTTGCTGAAATTTTAGAGAATTTTATTTGAAAGAAGTTATTTAGGTAACCAGACGAAAAGCGGATCCTTCCTAGAGGGCATCATTCCTTTAGAACAGGTTATTCTTGTGTCACAGACGTATTAGTAGCCTATGAAGGTTGAACGTCGCCTGTGTATGTAGTCGTTAATGACCTTATTAGGGCTTTTGACAAAGTTCGTCACAACTGGCTGTTATCCGGACTATGTGACATCGGGATTGTAGCCAACTGACTTATGTGGATAAAAAGACTACTGGTTTGGCGTCAACAAAGAGTATGGGTGAACTCGAAGTTTTTCAGCTGGAAATTTGTGTTTGGTAAAGTGCCTCACGGAATAGTTTTGATACTTGTGTTGTTCGTCCTATATGTAAATAACCTTCGCAGTGTCCTATCATCGTCAGTTTCGCCATATGCTGGTGGTCTCGAGGTGTAGGGAGCAGTAAGAAACGAAGGTGATAGTATAGAGCTTAAAAATGACCTGGAGACTTCATCTGATTGGTCTAACATTTTGCAGTTGCGGGTTAATGCTTCCAAGTGAAATGCGATGCACATTGGTTACCGTGATATAAATACATACACTGTCAATAATATTGAGCTTCCTGTTGCTGAGACACACAATAAGCTAGAAGTTGTCATAAGTCAAGACTTAGAAATTACTTCAAACTGCCTTGCAATAGGCATCTGGTGGTCTACTGGAATATCTGGGCTGACTATTCTTGTCGTGTAAATATTTCAAAATTTTTTCTTTTTCTTATTTCTTTAAACACATCATTGTGCCTAGTAATCGTATAGCATATTCAGGTGCGTGTGTGAAAAGCCAACGACCTTTGGCCTTATTATTATTATTATTAATGGCTTTATTCAATATTATAATCTGATAAAATATAGAATTCTCAGCACGAGTTATTTCAACAAGTATTTTTACCAAAAAAAACAAACAAAAAACCAAGAAAAACAAACAAAAAAAACAGAAAAGGAATGAAAAAGGTTTAAGAAAAAACTGAGTTTACACAAATTATCAAATTTGAAACATGCTTAAGAAGACAGGTTATTTACTAGGTCAACTCTAACAGCCTGTTCGTCACAAAGTAAATTTGCTAGGTAAGGTATTACAGAACTTTTATAGGCTTGCTTGCGTGTATGGATTTTATTGTATTTACGTTTCGTTTTACAAGAAGATATACAAGGGGAAAGATATGAATGAAGCGGATGGTTAGTATCTGATAAGATAACACCTGCCAAGAGTTTGCAAGACTTAAGATGTCTATCCACAAGCATATTAATAATGACTTCAAAAGATTCACCACATACCTTGCAAACCACCTGCAGCACTCTACGCAAAATAGCAAAGTCTTTTCTCAAAAGCCCAGGAAAGAATAATGGAGAACAATATAGAATGATAGGTAATATGCAAGAATTTACAAATTGTAAGAGTAAATGGCGAGTAATCCCAAAAGCATGCAGCCTCTTTATGTAGTATGTCAAACGGTAAACTTTTTTCGATAAGAGTAAAACGTGAGAAGACCAAGAAAGATCAAAGGAAAAAATGACACCAAGATATTTGACCTTCGACACTGTGTTTATTAAGGAGTCTCCAATGGCACAAGCATTATGTGATCCCAAATAGAGTGTAGGTTCTGTCCATGTCTCAAGCTAAAGTTAACAGCTTGACATTTAGATGGATTGAGTAAGAGACCATTACCAACAGACCACCTTTCAATACGAGATAAAAACTCGTTCATTTCTATGGGATGTAAGGAGGTAGAAATCGGCATACATACAGTGAGGTCGTCCGCATATTTACAAAAGTGTTTTCTCTGGAAGATGGCAGATCATGCAGAAAAAAAGAGAAGAGCAAAGGTGAAAGAACAGCTCCTTGTGGCACACCTACATTAGACAGTAGAGATGTTGAACACTTTCCTTCAAATACAGTGTACTGTTCTCTTCCAGAAAGGTAGGAACATAGCCAATTGGTTATCCAGCTGTCAGTGCCGACGCTGATCAGCTTGTTAAGTAAGAAGTGTCTTGGAATAGAATCAAAAGCAGAAGTAAAGTCCAGGAAAGCGCATCTAACATACATCTTACCCTTTTCCAACCCGAACACTATATTGTGATGCAGAACAGCAACGGCATCTAATGTGCTTCTTTTGCATTTGTAAGCAAACTGATATGGATCACAGTGCTCTTTTATTGCAGGTTGAAGTGGTTGTATCAGTAATTTTTCCATTATTTTAAGGAAAGGTGAAGTTATTGCAATGGGTATAGGGGTTATCTTTATCTTTCTCAACATTAGTTGAGAAGGATCTGTTAAAGATATTCGTTAATGGATAACATAAAACATCAGCACATTTTTTAAAAAGGAGATTTGGGATACCATCAGGTCCTAAACATTGGGATGAATTAAGTGACTGGATGCATTTTCGGACATCATTTTCAGTGAAACTGGAAGCACAATTATTCTTCAGACCCTTGGATATAGGGAGCATTATGTCAAATGACTGACGCATAAAGGACTTATGTAAGTCACAAACATTCAGCTGGTTATCGCTTCTAGTCTTCCTGTTCCCTGTAATTTCTTTAAAGAGTTTCCACATACTTGGAGAGCTTTTACAAGATAGGAGTTTTTGAGTACACACAGAGTTGAGACGTCTAATCTCTTAGTTTATTTGACAATTGAACTTACGAACTTCAGTAGTATTTTTCTCCTCATACATCCTTTCGTTTACCCTACGTAGTCGTTTTAGTTGTGGAGATGTAAGGCAATCAAAACTTGAAAAGAAGGTTTCGGTAGGACAGCAAATATCAAAAACAGAACTTAAGATAACAGGTGATAACATCAGTTGTGTTTTCTATTGAGTCATCTGTAAATAATTCCCAGTTGGTCGTACGAAACATGTTTTTTAGATTTTGTTAATTTTCTTCTGTTTAGTTCCTGTATATTACTTTTTTGATATGGTGTATGTGTGTACTCTTTCCATGTTTATCATATACTTTAGGTAGAACACGAATTATACAGTGAATCGGGCTAGACAATGGAGCACATTTGCCAGTCACATAGGTACCCACATCATTAATGAAAACCAAATCTA